CAGGAGGCCGATGGCTCGAAGGAGAAGTGGCCACTGTAGGCCAGAGAGGGAAGGCTCTGCAAGTCTGGGAGGTCCAACAGACAATCTGAGAGAGACAAAGAAGAGGTCAAGAAACAGCTGCTGGAAGACGACCGACCACACCTGAGACACGTTCTGTGCAGAAGCTAGAGGAGCAGTGCGGACAGAGCAGCAATGGCCTCCTGTACAATGTGGTGGCCATTTGCTGAAAATAGACACACACAGTGAGCACATCACACTGTTGCTGATCATCTGTGTGGGATTTGTGCGCAGTACCACACACACAGCTCTGGAACTGGTTCATGGGATCTTATTCCAGTGAAACTAATGGAGAAGTTAGGATTTTTTGATGTTTTTGTTTTACAGTGTGCATGTTAAGGTATTCTTATTTTTGCTGGTTTAAGCAGCTGGGGGTAAAAAATGATCACAGCATTGGTAATTCATTTCCTTGCACTGCTGAGCTGTGAAGTTGTCTTATGGTTGCAATATTTAATTCTCAACTACTAATTATTAGTCAGCGACTTCAGACATCCCTTACAACACCTTTAAAAGTGTCTTAATCACCTCAGACTGTGCACACACTCCTGAACAAAACTCTAGGTCACCTATGATTTTATTTACCTGACTTGACCTTTATGCTGCAGGATTTGTGGGCAGACCTCTTTACATCCACCTCAATCTTAAAATGTGCCATAATGACTACTTTTACTTCCAAGTATCCTATATTTTGATGCAAATAATTTTGTACTTTTACTTAAGTACCATTTTGACTGCAGGCCTTTGAGTATTTTTGCACTGTAGTAGATTTACTTTTACTTTGTCAATGATACGAGTACTTCCACCACCACCACCTGCTCCTCACCTCCGTACTCCCCGGGCTCTGTGCTCAGCAGCCCCACCTCCGCTGCGGACATGGCCATCAGCGAGCCTCCGCCCGCGGCGTTCTGCAGCAGCATCTGCAGGTCTTCCAGCTTCGGGTACCCGTCCAGCGGGGAGAGAGGCTGCGGGAACCCGGAAAGAGGCTCCGAGATCTGCAGGGTTGAAAGGAGCAGCTCCGTTTTGATAGCTGCCATCTCTCTGGAGTAGGAAGAGTCAGAAGCGATAGCGGGTGTGGAGCTCGGCCGCCCCAGAAACTGTTTCTGCGTGTACCGAGCGGGTGTGCGCTCCTGAAGCACGCGGAGAGACGCCCTGGTCGTGCTGACGCTACTGCTGCTGCTGCTGGGCGCTGTGGCAGTCGGAGGAAGCCAATGCTGGAGTTGACAGCTCCGGGTCGGAAAAAGCGTTTCAAATGATGATTTTGTGAAAGTGTTGCATAAGCTGCGTCATCAGGGAGTGTAAACACCGGGTGTTTGTTTCCGGCCGGTGTTTTACGTGAGCTTGCACTTGATCTGTCAGGTTTCTTCAATGAGGATTCCCGGCTTTATAAAGACTCCTGCGTGACGTACATCACCCAATATGGCATACCGGAAGACCATATTTGGTCCAAACGGGGCCGTGCACACTTGGCTTCACAAGGAGGCTCCTGGGATCTTTGTGCTGATGGCTTTTTGAGCGTGAACAATCCTATAGATTCCAGATCTGAGTCCTGCTCATTGTGTGTGGACCGTGAGCTGTACTGCAACCGGCAGACACCAGACACGGAGCACAACAAATAGCCATAACCGGAAACCTCGCAGACAGTTCAGACTTCGATCAGTTTTTTTTAGGTACACGTCACATGGAGGGCTTCCAAGCGACGTCATCACTTCCTCTGGCCTTATTTGGGCGTTTCCTTTCTTAGGCCCGTCCCCTCCTGCAGCTCAAATCCTGTAAAAACCACTAGAAGTAAATGACACGCAGCTGTGCAGCCGTTACAAAAACAAAAGTAAAAGTTCTTCACAGCTGAGTAGAGCTATATAAGTATTCTACATATCATAGTTTAGAATCCATATATTTTGTTTGTAAAGTAAGTGCAGCTTCCAGATAATTGCAGTGTTTCCTTCTGAAGTGTAATGCAGTACATGTACAAAGTAAAAATAGGTAGGGTGAAGAAACAGAATATCTAAGGATGACAAAAAAAAGAAGGCGAAGAAAACATGATGCACCCACTAAAGATTTATTATTAAGGCAAAACAAATTTAAATTGGCTTTATGAGCATTAGTTTTTAATCAAACAACTACTGAATACTATGAATCAGCTAAATTAATACATAAATGCAAGTTGTATTAAAGAGAGAAATCTGAGTAAATACTTTGCACCGTTTGCTCACATGCATAGTAGGTTTTAATGCTAAGGTCAGAGTCCAGTTTCAATGAAAATGGAAAGAGAGATTTGCCAAAACTGTCCCACTTTACCTGAGCTCCCGTACAACTAAACTTACGAATCTTGTTGCCTCAAAGCCAAACACAGAGACATAGAAAAGAGGCTTATAAATTGTAATTGCTAGAAAACGTTAGTTTTAATGTAAAAAAAAAACGGTCTCCCTCCAGAATAAGGAAACTGTGTTTCGAAGACAAAAGACGTTCTGGAGGATGCGGGCATCGATCCCGCTACCTCTCGCATGCTAAGCGAGCGCTCTACCATTTGAGCTAATCCCCCACCTATGCAATATGTCACACGCTTAAGTATATCAGTATGTCCTCTTGTCTTAATCTGAACTCAATTTTCATTCTACTAGCTGCCTCTGTCTACTCCCCGAGTCTTGAAGTCTAACGTTTACCCTTAAAAATATTTCTTCATAAAAACTGTACTCCGACCGGTATCTCCCCCTATTGGTCTTGGCATGTTATTGGGTGAAAATAGATCCAGGGTGGATATGATTGGCTGGGAGAGGAAGGGCGGGAATAGCGAGTTGTGTCACTGGAAAAGAAGGAGGCCAAAATAGACAGGAAGGCAGTGAGTGTGTGATCTGGTAACATGCTAAACCTGGAGGCTGACACAGGCTGACATCATTCATTAACATTTTTAAACATCAGCTATAGGTTTACTAAGCAAAGGTTTTACTGTCTGCTATGTAAATCTATCAAAATGTACAAAACAGAAAAATCTAAATACTGTTTCTCTCTCACCTAATGTTGAATGCCCATACCATTTAAGAAAATAAAAGTAGAATAAACACAGAATAAACTGAATATGAAAACTGAATTCAAGTAATAGGGATAAACTAGATGGTACAACCTAATATGCTATGATGAAACTCAAAGCCATGTGCAAACAGTGACAGTAGTGCAAATAATAACAAAAAGATTGTCAGATGGTCAGCATCACCAGGGCGCTGGTGATGAGATACATAATAGCTTATGAAATGTACATGGACAGCAGATTTACATGTAATATAACAAAAAGGGGGGATGTAATGAGTTTGTGCAAACAGCAGGGGTAGTCTTTTTTTATGTTTTTTTATGTTCTGTGGTGGGTTACGGTCCAGGGGCAGAGGGGGAGGGAGGTAATGGACAGCGTTCAGCAGCCTTATGGCCTGGTGGATGAAGTTGCTTGTAAGTCTGGTGGAGTGGGCCTGAAGACTCCGATACCAACCAACAGGAAATCAGTTGGGTTTGCACTAGTGAACATATCCTTTGGGTCCCAAAACGTGGAAGTGTCCAGATCATTTTTATGCCCAGAATCCAGACGCATGAAGAATTTATGAGCCATTGTGCAGCTTTCATAGGAATGAAGTGAATGCCATTTTGTGATTTGGTAACCAGGTCTTCTTCATTCATCTATGTCCAAAACTCAGGGGTACTGTAGGATATGGTGCCACCTAGGATACAACGCTAATTTTGCTAGTAGCTGAGAGATGCAAAGTGTTTCTTAACAATCTTGGTTGCTGCATCTACAGCGGGTATTTCACCAGTTAAACAGCCTATCCGTCATTGTGAATTGTAAATATAGTATCAGTTTGAAAGTTCTTCTGCTGTAATGTACAAATATGTACATATATTTATAAAAGCGTGTCTCTTTTCCTCTCATTCCTTAACTAATTTTGATTGCACACATTTCCTAAGTGAATGCACACACTGTTTATTCAAATTTTATTGCTGTATTTTTATTTTTATTCTCACTGTTGTTTTCTATTCCTGTTGTCTTATAACACATTGAGAGCATCTGTGCTGGAGTCAAATTCCTGTACTTTCGCCATTAAAGACAATTCTGATTCTGATTTGTTATTATACAGTTTGGGAGAGGGTCAGTAACTGGCTGTGGCCACAAATGTCAGCGCAACTCGGATCAAAGTTCAACAAATTAGTGAAAAAGTTGGTGTATTGATAAACGCAAAGTGCAGTGGAAAGAGACTCAGTGACTGATTGCTGACGGCCACGCATCATGTGACATAAACATCAGGTACAATAATGAGACTGTGACCTTCATCACGTTAATGTGAGAAACCATCAAAAACATCATATTTCTGCCATGTTTTCCATCCTTTGAGCTTTGACTGGAGCTCTTTCATTCACCTCATTTCCCTCTGCACTGGTTTAATGGAAGAAATTAGCTCCAACAGCTGTTTACTTCCATCACCCAACCAGCTCCATTTCAAACAGCAGGAGGGAATAGAGACATGCAGCATTTCACAATTCTTTGCAGATTTTATCAACATTTTAAAATCCACTTAAAGGTCAAAACAGCACATTGCTAATTCAGGAGTCAAGGTCACCAACGTCCTCTAGGTCGGTGCTGAAAGAAAGAAGAAAAACACACGGCTATGACAATTTTATCCTTGTACACTTTAAACCTTGTAAAGTGACTCATGATTATGTGTTTGTCCATCTGCTTTATACAGCCCATGACCCAGTCCTGCAGTAGAAATAGAAACAAAGCTGAGATATGTTGGCATGTGGCAGCAGGCTGCAGGAATAGCAGCTGCATTTAGACCATGAACACACACGCGCACAGGAATGCTGCTGGAAGTTTCCAGCAGGGTGTGAGTGTATATAAACCCCTGAGAGGCAGGATGTCAGGCAGACAAACTCCAGACAGAAGTCGCTCATTGAATCCAGACCTCCACCTCCAAAACCGCCGCCAGGATGTTGTGTCCCAGTGTCTTCCAGCCATCTCCCCTCACCGCGGGGCCTTTCCTGGACCTGCACTGGCCCGTCCGCAGCCTGTGGCCCGAGACCCGGCCGCTCTTCTATCACATCGAGCAGGAGATGATCCGCCACATACAGGAGATGAGGCAGAACATGGAGTACATGGAGAGACTGCACCAGAAGATCTTCGACGAGATCGACCAGGCCTCCTCCTTCACGGGTGTCTTCAAGCCCATTGCCTTCCAGGAGCTGGGGAAGGACAGTGGCAACTTTGCCCTTAGCCTGGACACTAAGGAGTTCTCCCCGGAGGAGCTGTCAGTGAAACAGGTGGGCCGGAAGCTGAGGGTGAGCGGCCGGTCAGAAAAGAAGCAGGAGGACGGGAAGGGCTCCTACTCCTACAGGTGTCAGGAGTTCAGGCAGGAGTTTGACCTGCCTGACGGTGTCGACCCTGAGGTCGTCACCTGCTCGCTGGTGGACGGCCGGCTGCAGATCCAGGCCCCAAGGGATAGAGCGGTGAGTGATGGAAAGGAGAGGGTCGTCCCCATCAGCGTCACTTCGGCCCCAGCCATCACCTCCTCTTCCAGTGGGGGGCCGGAGGGGAGCAGCACCTCCTCTTCAGAGGGCAGCCCCCCAGAGAAAAACTGAAACCACAAAGAGTGAAAACCATCTCGCCAATTCACCTATCTTTCTAGTTTAAGTGTGGTTATCTGTCAGATGGAGGGAACACAAAGCGGATTTTCTTCACTTGCACTTTAATTTTTAACAACTAATGTTCAAAATAAACTTGTCATGTGATGTTTAAGTGTCTCAGAATGTTTGATTCATTTTGCTCTCATTTATGTGCTGACTGAAGACAGGATCATTTTTGGAAATCGATTATTGACACTTCAGGGGCAGAAATAATTGTTTGTATTAATTAGTCATTAGAAGCCATTCTATTTGTAGTCTTCATGATTATGACTTTTTCTAATTATAAGATGCTAAATCATGTGTATGGAAAACTTCATCAGAGAGCAGATTGAACACAGTGAGCAATCTCAGCTGCTCCCTAACTTTGTTGGGAAAAGGGAACTGCTTTTCTTTGCGTTTTGACAAATAACTTGATTATAAACTTACTGATTCATGTGATGTTTCAAGTGTGATTTATTTTGGCCAAATGTTTTTCATACAGTACTAAACATTTAGCTTCATAATATCATGAAAATTGTGTCTTTATTCTCATGTGATGATCTTATATTTTTTTCCCCCCAATAAATCTTTCTCTTACAATAACATCCTCATAATCTCACAGTTATTCCCATTTTTCACATTTTCACATTGGCAGCTTCTGTACTGGGCCAATGAAGCTGATTTATATTTTTCTCGCAAATGTGATTTTTCTTGCTAAAATCATCAAAAAAAAAAAATAGAACTTATTCTCACTTTACCACAACGGCCATAACATTTGGACTTTTCTCTATAATTGCAACTTTCCTTTGAAATTTCCGGAGTCAATTTCCTTTTGTTTTAATATCAATTGAAATGATTACTCTCATAAAATTCTTACATCCCATAATATTGATGGTTTTCTTGTAAATTCTAAATTTGTTCTCATATTTTAGGTGACTCTTCACAAAACTGCAACTTTAGCTTTAGACCACACCCCTTTTTCTACCACTTTATTCTCATGTTATGACTCAAAAAATGTGTTTATTCTCATATGTGTATTGCATCTTAGAATTGTTTTCATAAAACTACAACTATCTTTACTGTATACTGTAACTATTTTCTCCTAAAATCACAACTTTGTCATGGTTTTTCTCTGAAAGCGTAACATTTTATTTTTATAGTGACTTATTTCTAAAAATGACCATAAAATTGCAACTTTTCTGTTGACTTTTTTCACATAAAACTAAGGTTTTAATGACAAAATTGCAACTTTATCCTCATATAAAGACTTTTATACAACAGTTTACATGATGTCTGGCATGTTCACTGTTCACTTGTTGTTTACTGTTAACTTCTTTATTAAAGGATGTCGATTGATCAGGCAGCCCTGCGATGGATTGGCGACCTGTCCAGGGTGTACCCCGCCTTCGCCCGATTGCTGGCCAAGATTGGCTCCGGCCCCACCCCCCCGTGACCCCGCTCAGGGAACAAAAATGATGATGATTGATCAGGCAATCTATACCTGTATGTATACATTTGACTGAACCATGAAAAACCAGCCATGTGCTCCTTTAATCATGAAGATGAGGGGTGTATGAAGATTCTTCCAGCATTTTACCCAAACTAGTTTCTGACAAACACAATGGGAATGATGATAATAAACACAGGAAACCAGTTTCCCCCTTTCTTTGCAAAATAATTCTCAATAAACTTAATTTATTCACAAACTGCTTCTCAAATTGCCATTGTCTTTTTTTAAAATCACATACAATAAAAAACATTTCTAAAAGACAAGAGATGTCCGAGCTCACTTTGTACACGACTGCTCCTCATCCATCCTGAAGCATCTTTCCCTTTTACAAACATCGCCATGCTCAGACATCAGATTAGAAATATTAAGAAAGAACACCAGAAAATAACAAAGAGAAGGATTAAAAATTTTACAGCTACAGCACATTTCTTCTCCGTTTTGTCTTTTTTCCCCTCATTTCAGTGTTTTGATTTACAGAATAATAGAATATGTTCAGTTAAGGCTTATGCTGGATCAACAGAAACAGACCAACAAACCAGGAGGGTGGGTCACGTGTCATATGGGGACTGCTTTTTCATGTGTTTTATGGGGACAGTTTGTTTTTTTATGTGCACTATGGGTACAGTGTTATTCGTGTGTTACAGGGATTTTAAACTATTTTGTAAATGTAGGTGAATTAACCCTTTAGACTCTTCCCATCTTGCATCACTAAGTTAAAATTTTTAATTAACACCACATAACACTAACAAGCTAGGTTGCAACTTTAACCATACATTAAAAGAACATTTTGACAAAATCATTCCTTTCTCTAAGGGTCAGATTTTCAGCTGGATATCAATCTTGTGTGCACTCAGTACAGAACTTGAGTCAAGACCTCGTTAGCCTAGCTTTGCATAAAATAGCATAAAAACTGGAAGCTTTGAGCAACAGGCGGCTTAGCACTGTGCACATTTCAAAAATAGTCTATAGGTACTTAAACACAGTGGTATCTAGGACTAAATGCTAACATTAGCATGCTAGGTCAATAACAACAATGACATTGCGATGTTCAGCAGATAAGCTATGTTTACACATTCATTACTTTTTTTAAAATTCACGACAGTATTCTAATAATTGATAATTAGCAATAAACCAAAAGTATTGCTAACGCTGGAATGTGATTTGCAGGATTATGGAAGAAACCGAACTACATGTGCAAATAAAAATGCCGCTCCCTGAAAAGTCAGAGGATCACCAAAGTTACTACAATTTATACATGGGAATTACATATTATTGCATGTAAATGATTTTACTTTAACTACTAGTAGTAGGTAGTAGTTAAACAAAATTACAGTACAATTTGAAAAAAGCCAAATTCTGTGAACCAAACAGAAGAACAGAAGTTTCAGCTGCAAATGATTTTCCCCTATATGATAAAATACTTTAGGTTGAAAGGTATAACCAAAAGTACTGCTCAGCTAGTATTTAAATATGGTCACTTATCCTGGGAATTATTCCGAGACGGTTGGCCCTAACGTTAACCTTGACACAGCAGATTAACAGCATAAATTACCTCATTTTGTTGTACTAAGCATTTGTAGCAGTTCAAGTAAAATCAGATTCAAACATCACATTTAGCTTGTGTAAAATGAGCAACATACTCATGCTAAGCTAGGCGAACCACCACACCCTGACTCAAGCTTCCATGCTTGGCACATAAACATGAGACTGATCCCCATCTCATCTTCTCACTGTCATAGAAATATGATTTGTCAAAATGTGGAACTGTGCCAACTCGCCAGCAGGATGTTTTTCCACTTTAAAAATACAGAAACATTTTTCCTGTTAATGTGACATTAGAAGAGAAAAACGACAAATCAAACATGTTTCAAACCCTCTGATGCGCAGATAGCAACAGCTCACAGCATATAAACAATCTCATCCTTTATAGTCAATTCACTGCTGATAGGTCTAAACAAATATCGGAAACTTTAACAGGAACGCTGCCACAATCGGATGGTGGTAATCTATCACAGCCAACATCTCGACTAAAGGGGACCAGAGGTCTGAAACACCTGACTGTGTTGTTCTCGCCACATGATATTACAATAAATTTGACAAAAACCAAAGTAAACCTGGCTGTGAGGGATTATCTCACTGCAGGCTGATTTCCATTGAAATGATTGGAAACAAAATGGCTGCCCAGAGGGGAAAGAATCAGATTTGGAATGTGCAATATGTTTCTCAGTACAAAACATGATTGTAAATATGTAAAAACAAGCCATGTGGTCCTTTTTGCAGAAGCATGGATGCTCAGTGAAACTGTGAAACGCTATAAAGTGATCAAAAATTGCAAGAAATATCACTTCATAACCTGTGGATGTTTTCCCTCGACACAAGATTCACACAAGGTCGTTCAGTGCATCATGATTAAATCCAAACTGGGTAGGAGTGCACCCCAAACAGGATGAAGTTTTGATTTAAACACCATTTAACCTTAGCACTGAATATCTGTATAGAGTCATACTTTGGTCACCAGTCGGTGCTTGTGTTTAGACAAAGTGTAACATTTACATCACTGACTGCTTTTGCTCACTGAAGGTTTTTTTTTTGGAGGGTATTTCTCAAAATAAGATATAATTTTAGTGTTTGAATGCAGATACAATAAGTGAAACTGACGTACGGTATTAGCACTAGTGAGAAGAGACAAACCACGCCGGCCCGACTCTGTACAGGTTCAGACTAGTGCTGGATCTTTGTTGTTTGAAGTCACCTGATTAACCATCTGAACAATCACAGCTCAGGTCGATTTCTGGTCAGAAAGTCGATGTATTTCTGGGGTTTTAACCTTCCTCACATTAACACACACACACACACACACACAAAAAAAAAAAGTCAGATTTCTGTCATATTTTCCACAGTTTGAGCCTCGACTGGAGCTCTTTTCAATGACCTCATCTGGTTGGAGAATGGGCTCCACCAGCTGTGTGTCTCTGTGCACTGGCTCGTAGTTTTGCTATGGATGGAAATGTGAAAAAATTCTGCTAAATTTGTGCTAAATTTGGGTGAAACTTGACTAGTGCGAGTTAATAATAAAACCGTACGGTGTCTGCCCAGTTACAGAATGTCAGGTGTCAACGTGGCTAAAGCGTACTGGGACACGGGTCACATGGCCACCAGGATGTCAAGACACACACACAGTGAGTGTTTGTAGTACACTCAGTGACAGGTGTGTGTGTGTGTGTGTGACAGGAATGTGTGAACAACAGCATCAGTGTCTACCTGCCCTCAGCGACACCTAATGGGACTATGCCACAAAGCACCAGCAAACCTGAACGCATCACCACGCCAAGGTCACATGACTGTTATACATGCAGGTGTGTGTGTGGTTTACCTGCATCAGTGTGTTTCAGTCTTTACACCAGTTTGTGTTTGTTCTCACTGTGACACCAGACTGTGTGAATGTTACTGACTGCTAAGATTGATACTGCAGCAATGGGTTAGGGTTATTAACCCATCTTATGACAGTCAAGTCTTCAAATCCGTATTAAACATTAGATTAGTTTTAGTCAGATGAAATCCAAGCATCTGTTTGGGGGACTTCTAATAAGAACACAGTTAAATCACCAGATCAGGACAGTGACGTTCAAGATTCATTAGAAGCAGCTCTACTTGTGTGTATTTAAAAGTCATGTCTGGTGATTTTCTACATATTTCTTCTTGTCAACAAATCACAAACTGACCAACAAACTACAACCTAGATGCTATTGAATAATTATGCTCATATTTCTGCAGGGGCGCATTAAAGGGTCAGTTCACCTGAGCACGCTGTCACCATTACATGGCGACAAGTTTCTGAGATGTCACCGAATATGTTCTCCTCCGTTGTGTTGAGGTGGAGGCAGGTATCAAACCAGAGCTACCTGAACACAAACAGCCAATCAGAGCCTCAATCAGGCCTCAGCATCCTGTCCTTCCTGATGATGAACGTCAATCTAGAGTTGATCAGATTTCGTCAAACATGCACTGACATCGTGACAACATAGCAGAGGTAACTTTGTCAGCTACAGTGATGACAAAATATTTACATAAATTTTTTTAGTCATGACAAAACCAAGACTTCAACAAAAATCAAAAGAAACATTGGAAAATAAGTATGACAATGTTTTACAACTTTTATCAGTGAGTAAAATTGAAATGTTACAGAGGGGGGGGGGACACAGTTTCAGTCAGCCTCTTGTCTGATTCTCAGTGGCAGAAGACAACCGGTCAGACAGTATCACCGACCCTAAGGTGCTTCTTAGTAACAGCAGTGTCACAGGTCCGATAGTAAAGACACCTGAGAGCAGTGACTGCAGACAGTTTTGCACTAAAGCAGTCATTAGTTCATTAGTTATTCATCCATATTTTAAGTTTAGTTTTTATGATTTGAAGAAAAAGGTAAAACCTTTGTCATAGTTCTGCTTTTCAAAGGTGAGGTTTTATGTTTTTTTTTGTCTTGTCTGCATCATGAACAAAAAGGTCAAGTAATATTTCTTGTCATTAACAGACTGAGGAAAACCAACCAGATATTACGACAGGGAGCCGAGGAGGGAGACAACAACGCCGCTCAGTTTCATTACTCAGTGACTGATTCAAGTGTGTGAAACTTTGTTTTTTTTTTTAAGTGAACAAAGAAATCATAACATGGATTTGTTTGGGCACTGTGGAAATGCTGAATTTTGAATCGAACTTTGAGTGAACGCTAACGCTGAGTGAACTGCCCCTTTAAATCTGTCTGGCGTCTTGTTTGTGTGTCGGTGTAGGACTGTGCGATGGCGTGGTGACAATGCTTCAGGTCGGCGCTGCATTGCAGCAACAGCCTCATCAAACAGTGGCGTTACAGACACAGCAGCTGGGAACAGAAGATACCTGGACAGTCAGAGCCCCATCACAGCTGTGGGAAGACTCTGCCTGAAGCTAACACAGCCATCACAGAGGTGAGAAAAGGTCAGCTGCAGGAGCGGCGTCCCTGTTATCACTCAGTGCTGGTTGGGACTCCAGGTGTCCCCTCTCCAAACACTCAGCTTTCCAACAGCGGACATGTTAAAAAGCAGTAGGAGGATCCAAGTGAAGCTGCAGCGCTGAGTTCCTTTCACTGGTAGTCAGATCATCACTGTTGTCGCCACCCCAGCTCATCCAATGAGAGAAGGTGTTGTTCCTGAGAGCCTTGCCAATTGGTGGCAAGTGGTGGGAGTGTCGAGATGATGGTGGTCCAGGAAGAGGGGCGGGCGTTCAGATCAATTCAAAATGAAACCAGAAACAGACAACAGCCTTTCATTTACAAATATGTCAGTTCTCTTCTATTAAGTTCAAGTCCAGTTCTGTACAGTCCCTCTCAAACACTGCCTGCTGCGCAGCCTCACGCTCCTCCACCTCCTCCTCCCCGTCGTCATCCTCGTGGCACTCCTCGTCGCTCTCGCTCAGCGGCCCGATGCTGGTCCTGCCCAGGCATTCGGCTGGTGAGCAGGAGCCCCGGAAGTCTCCCATGAAGGGCTCCATGCCCATGCAGATGTCACCGCTGCAGGCCAGCCTGCCACCACCGCGCTCCAGACACTGCGGGTCAACGCTGCGCGTCTGCAGGGACAGCAGCAAGGAGGTCAGGAAAAACAACAGCAACTGAGTGAGGAAGCCGAACAGCATCACCCCAACTTCACTGAATCACAGCTTTTACAGACACAGCTCTAAGGAAGAGGGAGTGTCAGCATAAGGAGACTCTAAACTCTCAGTGATGCTCATTTTCAGGATCCCTGTGCTCAGTTATAAACGGCTGATTCTGGATTAAAGGATGTAGCCGGTGATTAGGATGTTGTTGTTATTTTGCACAAACCCCAGAGACTAACAGCAACTATGTTTACCTGCAGTTTGATGCACCATGGCCCCTGAGTGACAGGAGCACTGATCTGAACTGTGTTTCAATTCTCCACCGTGTGAACATGCCACAGCATAAGACCATAAATAGTTCCAGGTTTTACATTTCCCAAAACAGGGTCAGGTTCTTTAAGGGTAATCTTATCATAGCACAACTCAAACCTCAGACAAACCAGTGCCACAGGAACAGAAATCATCTCAGTGTGAATCACCAAGCAAAAGTCAAATACTAAAAGGACTCACTACAGGATTTCAGTGGATTCAGATCTGGAGAAAATGCTGTCTAACTAGTTTAGGTCCCATGCTTCCAAATGCTATAATTTGTGGCGTGTGCTCTAGGGCTATACCGTATCGTATTGTCCACAATATACTGGGATAATTCCTCCCCGAGGTTAGAGTGTCATCTCATGATGATACGTGTGATGACCCATTTCCATATGTGTCGTTAGTGGCATCTCTACAAAAGAGAACAAGCACAGCGGAGGGCGGAGTTCATCCGTAGGATGAATTAATTCTGAAAAAGGTGCTTCCTTTGTGGTTTGGAAAAGGTTCGGCCACAAGAGATCAGATGTATGCCAGAACCACCTTGAGCAAAACCACCAGGCAGAATTCTTTGGCTACTAATACTGTTAAAATTATCTAGGAAGCACAAATCCCCAACCAAAAAAGAAAAAAAAAAACACAAAACAGAAAGCACTTCTGTCCAACCACCAGACCAAAACCCAAAAACGATGACAACAGAAACCAGAGAAACTCAGAGAAGATTTGGCATTTTTGCTTCATAAATGACACAGAAACAGAACAACTGAGACTAACTGGTCAAACTAATTAGTGAACTTGTGCAGTACCTGAGTCATCTTGGTGAAGTCGAGGACCGGGCGGGCGCAGGGTCTGTCAGGGTCTCGGCGCCTTTTCAGACCCGGCTTGAACAGCAGCAGGTCACAGGGCTGCGAGTGGCAGCGTGGCAGCTGCGGCGGTAGGCTGCGCCGCAGAGATGACGGCGTGCTACAGGCTGAAGAAGGAGAGGCGGGCACTGGCCCCCCTGCAGTCGCTCCAGCAGTGGTGGAACAGCCCAGCATAGGTGGCATCGCCTGGCTCGGTACGGGAGGCGGAGGCAGAAAGGTGGAGGTCGCCGAGTCTCTGATGAGCACTGGGGAGAGGGAGAAACGCCTCTGGGGAGGGGGAGGTGGGTGAAGGGGGGAGGGCGAGGAGGAGCAGGAGGAGGGCGAGGGGAAGAAGCAGCAGCAGGCTCCTCCACCCGCTGCTGCCTCGCTGGGGGCCCAGGGGAAGCTCCAGGGCAGCGGCG